ACAAGAAAGCCAATGCCTTTCAAGACAGACTGCCCAGAACTCATTTCTACTCCCCCATCTCCCTACCTTGCACTTGGCACTTGCTACAGTTATCATCACATACCTGTATGGCCACTTTGATCACTCCCCTCCCCAGCAGACAGGGTGCCCCACTACGACAGGCCTGGGGCTTTGCTCAACACTATGTGCTTGGGCCCCAGCCCAGGACTGGTGACTAGTGTTGCCTAAATGAATTACAGAATGCATGTTGCTTGCCTTGACTTCTATCCTTTGGGAAGCATCACTTTCTGTCTTAGTAACAGTTTCCACTTGACCTTTCTCAATAATGAAATTCCTATAACTCTATCTTGGGAGACACAGCAAACACTCTACAGCAGTTACCCAGAAATGAAAGCTCAGGCTGAAAGGGGTCAGGGCAGTCCTCAGGATTCCTTTCAAGTGCTTGGCAGATGCTTCTAGGAAGAATCCTCAGTGTACCTCAGGCAGGGAACGCTTACCAGGGACAAGGGACACTCATTCTTTTGAAAATGTGGCATCCTTTGCCATTTTGCGTGTGCAGCAGCTACTGGGCTCAATGCCTTGAGGTGATGGGGAACGGGGCTCAACCAGCAACATCACCCATCTCCAGCGTGTCCTAAAAGGAAACAGTAAATTCTGCCGCTGGATGCTGGTGTTGGTTTTTTGTTTTTGTTTGTTTGTTTGTCTTGTGTAGACAAATTTCCAAATGGTCTTATTAAATAAGAAACACGGAGCCTTAGAGATCAGGGAAACAGTGAGAGCTGCCAGCTAGTCTTAACTCACCACGCCATCATAGCTTCCCAAGAGAGCTACTTCCTGTCTACCCAGGCTTTTATTGCCTTGCTGTTCTGCCCTCTCATTGGCTCTTAGCCCAGCCACCTCACTTCCTTGTCATTGCCCATCTATATAGACCTCCAGATCTCAATGATTGGTACTGGGATTAAAGGCGTGTGTCACCACACTTGGCTTTTCCCTAGTGTGTCCTTGAACACACAGAGACTCTGCCTGCCATGTGATCAGATTAAGGGCATGTGCTACCACTGCCTGACTTTTGTGTTTTCCTTAAAATGGCTTGCTATTCCCTTTGATTTCCAGGCAAACTTTATTTATTAACATGCAAATAAAATATCACCACATTTCAGCACAAATTAAATATCACCATAGTCTTGGTCCTGGCTGTGTGCCTTTTGCTTTCATGGGAATAAGTAAAACAGGAGCATGTTTTGAGTATGTATGTTTTTCTCTCTGGTGACAGTAGACACCCCTGAACTCCTGAGTCCTTAAATCCAAATACAAGAAGCCCATCAGGAGAAATTCTGACAGTTGTAGCAAATTCCTGATAAAAATAACAATCTCTCAATTTCCAACTCAATATAACTCCTAATGGCTGTAGGACTAGAAACTGATCAGGTTTTTGCACCTTAAAAAATAAAATCGCTTGGAAACCAGTATTACCACAAGTGAGATCAGCATTAACCATGAAATAAGATATCCCATAATGCTGTGTAATTACCAGCCTTGTGCCATTCTATCTCAGAAATTTGAGTGTTTCCAGTCTTTTCTACTATAGAGTGAAAATAAAATTAAATTATTTTCTCTGTGTTCTTCTCTGTTTTATCTAACTATATACTTTGCCTATAATAAAAAGAATAATGCCAAAATAATCTATAAGCCAAAAGACCATGAGCCTGGTGAGTGGTACAGGGCACAGTGGACATTTGGTTCAGAAAAGCCTTCTGGGGGTGAACAGGAAGCTGAAGGGAAGTCGAGGTTCAGCAGCTGGCTTCCAGATGTTTTGCCAAGCCGAGCCATTGACAAATGAGCCCTTGAGCAGACAACCGCCCAGTGAAAACTGTTCCTGAGAGGAAGTGACAGTGATTTAGGAGCATGGTGTATGGAAAGAGGCACTGGACCAGGAGAAGGAGGTTAAAATTAGAACAAGCCATGGGTGGGTCATGGATAGGGAGAGGGGAGTTGAAATATAAAAATCACGTCCCTGATGGTTCTGAACTTCCTTGGCTGAAAAACCAAGGTGACTTTTACTCACTTCAGACAACCAGGATCAGCCCCACCTTTTAAAACATCTCTGCCCTCCCATCTCACTAGAGAGGGAGACTGGACCTTCTTATTACTTTGGTTTAAGTCCTGTGAATTTTGTCTTCGTGGCATTAAGTAGGAGATATAATTTGAAACTTACGGATGTGGCTAAGTGTTGAAGGTACTCAGTCTTGCCCACTAAGCTAAAAGTTTCCCAATAACAAAGATATATTTCATTTTAACGCTATTGCTTCCCAATGTCTAGCAGAAGGCTTTACCGGCTGCTGGCACCTAGTGATAGCAATCCTCACTGGTTGGTGTCAAGCGCTGGTTACCGCATGGAAAGGTCACGGTCACCACAGAACCCGGTGGTACCTTTTAGAGCTTTATTAGGAGGGAAAAGGGGTGGGGGAGAAGGGGACCAGGCCTGGTGAGAGAAAGATGGGGGAGAGAGCGGAGCAGAGCAGAGAGCAGAGAGGAAACAGAGAGAGTGACTGGGGGTCCACCTCCAGCTTTTTAAGGCAGGTACATAGTCACCTGTGCCCATTGATGACGTAAGACACCATACCAGAGGAGTGAGGGCAGGATCCTAACACCTAGGAGACACTCATTTATTTGGAAATAGAGTGTATTCTTCCTCTTTCTCTTCCTTTCTTTTTTTTGGTTTTTGTTGTTGTTTGTTTTTTGTTTTTTTTTTTGAGACAGGGTTTCTCTGTGTAGCTTTGCGCCTTTCCTGGAACTCACTCTGTAGCCCAGACTGGCCTCGAACTCACAGAGATCCGCCTGGCTCTGCCTCCCGAGTGCTGGGATTAAAGGCATGTGCCACCACCGGCAGGCCTTCTCTTCCTTTCATTTTCCTTTCCTGTGCATTGTCTTCCTCTTGTCTTCTCTTTTGTTTCAGGTCAACTCTTCCATACAATGGATCATTTTGAGCCACAATCCTACATCCCACCAAGCACAGCCACCTTGTCTGCAAACTCCTTGTGTATCTAACCCATAAAATAAAGATTGGGAACCGCTGAGATCTCAATCAATCATATTCTAAAAAGGCAATGTCAGTTGAGTATCCTTTATGCCCAAACCAGGCTGGCCTTGAGCTCATAGCTCATAGCCTGCCTCTGCCTCCCAAGTGCTGGCATCAAAGGTGTGTACTACCATGCCCCACCAAATTTCATGTTTTTAAAATAGTGGAACATTTGCATATATACAAGGAGATATATTAGGACCTACTCAAGCCTCTGCACAAATTCATTTGTTTCACATCGATATTCTACACACAACCCAGAAGCAATTTCATATGCTATTTTTAACTGGTTGTGTGTGAAAGAGTTTCAACATGTAGAATTTTCTACTGTGTCAAAAAAGAAAGAAAGAAAAAAAAAAAAACAAAGAGCAGAGGCAGCCGGGCAGTGGTGGTGCACGCCTTTAATCCCAGCACTCAGGAAGCAGAGGCAGGTGGATCTTTGTGAGTTTGAGGCCAGCTTGGTCTACAGAGTGAGTTCCAGGACAGCCAGGGCTATGCACAGAAACCCTGTCCCCCCAAAAAATCAAACAGAGCAGAGGCAACCTGGTCCTGAAACTTCAGGCTCACAAAACCATTTTGTGCAGTGCTCAAAACACTTAAGACTTTGGAGCATTTGGGTTATGATGCTGTGAAGAAGAATATAATCCTTGGAGGCAGGGACCAGTTGAGGGAGGCCGGAGAGGGAGGACCTAATCAGAACCCAGTATAATGACATGTGCATATGAAGATGTCATGATAAAAACCACTAGTTTATATGCTAACCTTAAAAATTAATTTAAAAAAATTTTAAAGAGTGGTTAGAGGATCAGCCACCTGGGTGATTAGAATGCACTTTGGTATTTACTAATTGTGGGATCTTATGTGAATTGCTTAATAACTCCAAGCTTTAGTCTCCAAAACTATTAAATGACGATAATAATAAACCCAACCACCTCAAAGAGTTATTACAATGATAAAATAATTAAAGGAAAGTGCTTAATTGTTCTGCTGGTCCATACAAAACACTCTGTAAGGCAGCCGCTACCGTCTCAGTGACCACAAGTTTAAATGTGCACCCTACGACGTGTTTACAACTGATCCACACCTTGTATCCCCAAAATAGGGCGAGGAACTCAACCTCAGACCACTGACCCCTACTCAGCCTGCCACAGCCACTGGCAGTCCCTTTCCTCAGCTAGGGAGGCTGAAGGAATGTCTACTCTGGATTAAAGTGATGGGGAGGGTGGAATCAGTCGCAAGGGGACGGGGAGATGCAGTCAAAATTCGATATCAAATGTAAGTTGTTATTCTACTGCACATGTATCCATCATCAACTTCAAGGCAGCTTTCAGCCTAACACAGTCCCTTGAATCCCTGTGGTTGCAGCCAGTATGCATAAACAGGGCATTGTTCTGACAGCTCTTCTCCCTTGGAGCTGCTTTTGTTGACATCCATGTGGTTGAACCCCCATGTTAATGGGGGGGGGGGGGGTCGAGGATGCTAGCCGAAGCAGATTTGTCATGAGTTCTAAGTCAAGCTGGGCTACCCAGTGAGACCCTGTTTCAAAGCCTCAAAGCAAACCCAAAAGGAATACTTTGGGGCACCTCACTTCATGCACCCTAGTATTTTTCTATAAGTGTGGAGAATGAAGTGGTTTCTTCCCCAAGCAGCACAAAAGCAAAACATGGTTAAAACCGAGGCGGTGAGAGGAGGCGGGGTGCGGGGGAACCGCCTGCAGCAGCTTGGGGACTGGGTCACCGCACCAACCGGCTGCTGCTTGGAGGGGGACTTCGGAGAAGCAGGAAAGGGTCGCTGCACAGCGGACGCTTCTGCTTTTCGCTCTCCAGACAAGCAAATAAATTAGGATGACAGGCAGAGCTCCCTGGGGGCAGAGGGGTGGGGGAAGTGCTTAGAAGTGGGGGAGGGGCCCCCCTGGACTCACCTCTTTTGTGCAGGGCACAGGGAGAATCTCAGGCGGGGTGGGCTGGGCACTCACTGCCAGAGGGACAGGGGCCACAGTTCAAGGCGGTTCCGTTTTATAAGTGAGACTCTGCAGCAGAAGAGACAGAAACTGATTTGTCAAGGACCTCAAGCGGGTAATTAGAAACCAGAAAACAAAGGACTGGGGAGAAAGGAGAGGAGGCTGAAAATAGCCTGATTGCAGAATTGTTGAGAGGAGAAAAACCCGTCCGGATCTTGCATCTTTGCGTTCTAGCCCTGTTTAGGGACTATGGCAGGCTGGGCCATGCAGGAAGGGAAGAGAAAAGAGCAAGGGCCGCCTGCTGTGCTATGAAATAGAGTAATTGTTCAACTATGTAAAGCTGTGTTGAATTTGTTTATGCTACATCTGTTTAACTATGTAAAAGTGTGTTGCTGTTTCACCTTTCCTGCCGAAGGTACCTGATAGGTCTAATAAAAAGATGAATGGCCAATAGCTAGGCAGAGGAGGGGTAGGCAGGGCTGGTGGGCAAAGAAAAGAAGCTGGAGGAGCACTCAGAGAACCAGGGAGAAAGAGAGAAAGAGGGAGACACTAGGCCAGCCGGCCAGGCACTAGGAAGCAGGGAGCTAGGACATAGGGCATGAAAGAAAGGTTAAAAAAAACCCCGAGGCAAAACAGAGATGGAGAGAAACAAGTTACTTTAAGTTAAAACAACTAGCCAGAAACAAGCCTAAACTAAGACTGGACACTCTTAACTAGTGATAAGTTTCTGTGTTGTGATTTGGGGCTGGTAGTCTGAAACAGCATGCTACATTGCTGTATGTTTAAAGCTCACAAAGCCTAGAGCCCAGGAGTTTCGAGGGTTCTCCGTGTACAACGTGGAGTCAAACTTTACAAAGCTGCAGTGCTTCCTCTTTGGTGATTGAACCACTGTATTTCCAAAATGTCCTCATTGGTGGGAGCTGAGTGATAGGATCTGGGATATAATATCCCTCGTAATATGGCACCTAGGCATTTGAGAAAATGGTAGAAACAGAAAGATTTCTCTAAACAGCCCCTGGCCCATTTGCCCTAAAGCAAATTAAAAAACAAAAACAACAACAACAACAAAAACCCCTAGAAGTATCTCCCCACTCAGGTTCTCTTTCCAGGCCAAGGCCAGATTACTTCTACAATCCTCACCTCTTAAACGAGTCTGCTCTTTTATTCCACTCTGGTTTTTTACTTTTAAGGTCTCTGTTCAGATAAATCCCTGTGTGCACTGCCTTAGGAGGCTTCGGGGCTCTGATTCGGAGAGGTTCACAATAGTTGGATGCTTTAGAAGAAAAATAAATACTGAATTTTAAAGTTTTGTTTATTTTTCATTTAGTTTAGTTTTGGTTTATTTTTTTTCATTTAATTTAAATTTGTTTTGTTTTGTTTGTTTTTGTCTTTTTGTCTGTGCAGAGTCTCTCAGTGTAGCTCGGGCTGTCCTCAGAACTACTGTCCCTCCTGCCTCGTGCCTCTGAAGGCCAGGATTATAGAATGGCACCAACATGCCTGGCTTTAAACTTTTAATAGTAGATTTCTCACCCACCCTCAATACTACAAAAATACTATAAAGCAAATTTAATACTTAAATCCTTATGAAAGAATAATTTACTTTTATTTAATTGGGAAAAAAATAAGTCTATTTCCAGCTCTAGTTGTCCTGGAAGCCCTGGGTGTTAACTCAACTGTCACACTGCTAATAATGACTCAGTCCTGCTCTGTGGATACTCAGTTTCTTCTGACAGTATTGGTAAGTTTACTACCAACCAGTGTGTAAACACTGTAAAGCCACACTTGTTTACCTCAGCAACCAGGCACATTTAGGGCTTCTGGATCTTCTGCCCAAACACCATCATTTCAATAACTCATCACGATGACCCAACATTATCCAGCTTCTCAGAGTGCTTTCAGAAAAAGCCTCATACTCAAGGGTCTTGTGAGACGGACAGAGGTGAGCACTGTTCTTCTGTATTGTTTTCATTTCCATCAGCTTGCTTCTTCTGTAAAAATCACGCTTACTCAGGTGTGTGTGCACATACATGCACATGCCATGGCACAAGTGTGGAGGTCAGAGGACAGCTTGCAGGAGCCTGTTCTCTCCTTCCACCACGTGGGTCCTGGGGGGATTGAATTGAGGTCATCAGGCTTAAAGGCAAACACCTTGACTCTCAGCCATCCACCTCACCAGCCCTGATTGGCTTTTTTCACTTCTGTCTTAGGGTTTCTATCGCTGTGAAGTTCTACGGCAACTCTTATAAAGGAAAACATTTAATTGGGCTGGCTTACATTTTTTAGAAGTTTAGTCCACTATCATCATGGGTGACACAGCAGCATGCAGGCAGACATGGTGCTGGAGAAGGAGCTGAGAGTCCTTGACTCGAAGGCAACAGGAAGTGGTCTGAGACACTGGATGTGGCTTGAACATATATAAGACCTTAAAGCCCACCTTCAGTGACACACTTCCTCCAACAAGGCCATACCCACTCTAACAAGCCATGCCTCCTAATAGTGCCACTCCCTTTGGGGCCATTTTCTTTCAAACACATATTCTCTCTCTCTCTCTCTCTCTCTCTCTCTCTCTCTCCCTCCCTCCCTCCCCTCTCCCTCTCTCCCCATCTCCCTTTCTCTCTCTCCCCCTCTCCCTCTCCCTCTCTCTCTCTCTCTCCCTCTCTCTCTCTCTCCCTTTCTGTCTCTATCTTTTGGTTTTTAGATACAGGGTTTCTTTGTGTAGCCTTTTCTGTCCTAGAACTAGCTCTGTAGACCAGGCTAGCCTCAAACTCACAGAGGTCCATCTGCCTCTGTCTCCCGAGTACTGGAATCAAAGGCCTGTGACACCACTGCCTGGCTAGCTTATTTTTTTAAAAAATAAACATATGAACTTGGTAATAAATTTATGTAGAAAGTCATAAATTGAAAGTTGCCAGGCGGTGGTGGCGCACGCCTTTAATCCCAGCACTCGGGAGGCAGAGCCAGGCGGATCTCTGTGAGTTCGAGGCCAGCCTGGGCTACAGAGTGAGTTCCAGGACAGGTGCAAAGCTACACAGAGAAACCCTGTCTCGAAAAACCAAAAAAAAATAAAAAAATAATAAATAAATAAATAAATTGAAAGTTAAGTCACTTTTAACACTTTCTTCCTAACTCAAGTCATTTCTGGTGATGTGACTATTGTTAAAAATTGTGCAGGGCGGTGGTGGTGCATGCTTTTAATCCCAGCACTCAGGAGGCAGAGGCAGGCAGATCTCTGAGTTCGAGGCCAGTCTGGTCTACAGAGCAAGATCCAGGACAGCCAGAGCTACACAAAGAAACCCTGTTTCAGAAAACAGGCCTCAGCTTAAACATTAGTAGGTATCGGTATTGAAGCTAGCACAGAATATCTTTCACGTAAAAATCTATTTTGTAAGCTGCAAGTTTAGAGATAGAGTCCATTACATTTTATTCAGTGTTATCACTCTTTTTTTTTCTTGCAATTACCCCAAAGAAAATGTAGTAGTCGCGAGCTGAAAGTTTTGACTACGGGTATGCCAAATTTAATCCTAACCAACTATTCATTTACCCCCAGGTGACCCAGAGCCAGCCCCCGCCCCCTGGCTCTGAGTCTGCAGGGCTGAACTCTACCTGGAACTGGCTTCCGGAGCACTGGGCAGTGCTGAAGAGTCCTGAACAAAACAATTCCCAAGCCTCTTAGTTTAAATAGTTCAAGTGTCTCCTTCAGATCCTCCAAATATCTCTCACCCACACCCCATCTGATAGAAAGGCCTTGGATTAAAAGGGCAGGAGGCTTCCCAATCTAGCCCAATCTTTTTCCATCACCTCAGGCTTTAAGGCCTTCTGACTACTTTGCCACTTAAAAGCTCCTTTGAGTCCCAAGAGAACAGGCATTTCACCTCACACCAGTTTCTCCAGCACCCAGGCAGGGTCTCACCCACAGTGAGACCAAGGGCTGTGGGACCTTCCTCTCTTTGTGTGGGATCTCACCTCCCCAGTTATTCCCATTGTTTCCCAGGAGACACAACTTCTGTAGCTCTGAGAAGGCTTATCGAAGAGACATACCTCTCTCTGGTGTTCCCTACCAAAAGAAAGACTTGAAGCAAGTTTGTGGGGCTTTTTGAGTTCATTCATTATGTCCCTAGGATGTCAGGTACAATCCCAGGCACTAGGGATACAGACACAAACTGGACAGACAGAGCTGCAATGTCGTGTGGATCACAGTGACAACGTATAATGCTAAACGCGTGTATTCCCAGTAGGTACACTTGACAGTGATGGACAGTAACAAGGGAAGTGTCATTTAGAGTGGGAGGTTGGGATGGCATCTCTGAGGGAACCATGCTTAAACTTCAGTCTAAAGGACAAAGGGACCCAGCTACTTGCAGAATGGGAGGAAGAGCAGTTGAGACCAAGGGAAGATGTGCAAAACCTCCAAGACAAGAAACTCATGGAGCAGAAGACTCCTCTGGTCTCCTTGGTCAACAGTCTCCTCGGCCCTCCTTGGTTTTCAGCTCTGGTGCAATTTCCAATACACCTGCAGCTTTCAGCCTCCCACCTCAGGCGGATGAATACCAAGTACAGCCTGAAGGGGGTATTTATGCCCTCCAGACAACCCTTAATTTGGAGGGTAAGAGCTGGTAGACAAATGCACCAGCCTCGCATCATTTAACAGCTCGGGGAGACACCCTGCGTGTATCTCAGGAGATCTCCAAGGAGTAGAGGTCTGTTGCCGGGACCAGACATCCAAAGAGTGCTGACTTCGTCTGCATCGTGCCGCCCCCCCCGCCCGGTGTCGTCCCCACCCCCACCCCCCCCCTCACCCCCACCCCCCACCCCTCAACCCCGTCTTCTCATACCTTCTCTCCTTTGGGATTCCTGCGTCATTTCAAAGATGCACGTGAGAAAAGGAGTTGACAAAAGATCTGAGCAAGGAGGAGCGTCAAACCAGATGGGGTTGGAACTGAAGGGTGGTGACAGACCACAGAGAGTTGCGGACGGCAGTGAGCGTGAGTGTGCCATCCTCAGCAGATGGGCACAGCGGGTAGTTCTAACAGTGGCCCGGCCAGCAGAGAATGAGGTTCACACTGTGAGGTTAACAGAAGCGGTGAAAATAAATGGGCAGCTTGGGATAGATTTTAAAAGCAGGACGGCGGACACTGCTTATTGCCTGGCAATAAGAGAGCAAGGGCAATTTTGTTTAAGGAACCGAGGGGATGGTGGTACACTGAGAAGGGACCGGACAAGATGGGGCAGGAAGATCAAGCGTGTAATTTTGTCTTCATAAACTCTGAGATGTCTGTGTGA